AAATGAAATGCTGCGCGATGCACTCGAGCTCCACTAATGATTAGACGCGGGAGCAGAGAAATTTTTATATATAATAATTACAATTACATTATTAATAATTTTCAAATGCGATTATTGCATATTTCAAGATTTTTGGATACCAACATTGTTGAAATTACTATCGCAAGATAAAATTCCGGGATACCAGATCTTTTTGGGGGATACGCAATTTCAATACGTCTGGTATCCGCGAATGATACCATAATAAAAATCTAATTTCGACCCCTGTACTGGTAGGGAAAGCGTGCTGACCAAATTCGGCTCGAGGCGCGAGTTCACACAAAAATACAACACAAATATTCAACTATTTCTACTCCATCTTTGTTTCTATTTCAAGAACAGTGTTCACTGTTATAAAACTAATAATGTATTAAGATATTTAATAATGTCTGTGTTCGTTAACCGGAGCTGTGTCAGCGAAATCACACAAAGACTGAACGAAATTCTTGCGTTTCCCCTTCCGTGCGCAGTGTATGTAAATGGCTGTCAGAATCAGGAAACGCCCATTCGGCGCTTTCGTGACTCATTGGTGCGTCGCAACGCTATCCACTGGCGCTGTATGGCGAGGCTCACACGGAGTTGAAAAGCAGCGTGGTAGTATCCGAATGCAGATGCGCTAGGCCTATAGGCTTATTAGACTGGTACTCTGCGCTCCCACCTGTTCGGCTAGTTACTCGATGGGGTAAAATCAGAGGTGAGCGAGTACAGTCTAAATAGCCTATGTACCTGCAAGGGCCATTTACATACACTGCGCAAAGGGAGAGAACGCGCGAATTTGCCGATTCTTGTGTGTGATTTTGCGTGACAACAGGCTCGATTACAAACACAGCAGCAGTATGTTTTTAGCCTCATCTGACATAAAGTCAGTATGCAGCTGAATAAGAAATCGCATGATCGTCCGCGCGTATCAACAGTTGGGCACAAATCTTAACCGCTTGACGTACGGTCAACGATATTCGGGAAAGTGGCGGGTAATGCCGAAAACGATTGGGAATGTCAAGCTGGTTCAAAAGGTCAAAAAAGGTCAAGAGGTTAGAAAGGGGAACATTCACTCCTTAACTGCAAGGTAATAGGGAGGAAATGCAAGAAATGCGGCAGCAAATCTTAAACGGCGTCGACTAGGCTCGTGATAATCGTGTATAGCATCATGGGTAGGAAAAGCCATCACTGGCCGAAATTGGGGGGAGGCGTCACAGTCAAAGGTCAGTGGGCAAGGCAGGGCAGAACCTAGACATTTTCTGAGGACATGGTCTGACGGAGTCGATCTTGAAAAAGCTTTTGTTCAGCGGTGACCTAGCATTTTTTATGGTCTTTATTGAAAGGACAGAAATGTCGCTTGCTGACATGGCGAAGTAAGTGCGGATAACCTTTTTTTGAGCCCATCAGAGGAGGGTTAAAACATGGGATTTGTTGACTGTTAACAAGGAGGATAACTGCTTTTAGCTATTTAGAAGAGCCCCTCCACCCTGTCACCCTCCTTCCCCCTCGCTCACCCCTTCCCCCCACCACTCCCCCACCCGCCTACCCCCACCCTCCCCCTTACCCTCCATCTGCGATAGTGGGCGTTGTCGCTAACAATGAGTTGCTACGCAACTGCGTGTCTGCATATCTGCGCCTAACAAATGCTGCTACTACGCCGACTGAAAATTTTACGTTATAATCGTAGCACGAGACCTCAGATGGAGCCCCAGACGGCTCTGGCCGGCTCTTGTTAAACAATGTGAACATCTGTTCTTGAAATAGAAACAAAAGATGGAGTATAATGGTTGAATATTTGTGTGTGTATTAAGTGAAGTCAAGGCAAACAGCTCGAGGTGAATTTTTTTGGTTCAGCACGCTTTCTAACCTGCTATATATATAAGTGTCAGATGCAGCAACTGCAGCTGCAGCAATGCGCACTTGGCGGCAGCAAGATGTTGTTGTAGATGAGCATTTGACAGCGTTTACAGGAAATTGTCGGCAATAATAGGTGAAAGAGAGTATAGAAACATTAAGACTTTGGTAGTAAATAGACTTTAGCCCGCTTCTGAAGCGGGATAACTTTAGCTCGGGATAAGTCGTTTTATACTGGCCGTTCTCGACCACCCGAGCTGCGTGCGAGACGGGGTAAATTGTGCATGTCAGCTGAATTTTAGAGACGAGCAAAGTGCGAGATACCTTTTATACTGACGGTAGCTCGGGTCTGAAGCGGACCTAAACCACCTCCTAGAGCGGAATAACTTTAGCTCGGGCTAAGTATTTTTCGACCTTTTATACTGGGGGTTATGAAAGTATAAAAAGGGGTATGAGACGTCAAGAATTATTTACTAGTATGACATCGGTAGATATAACAAATAATTGTTGTATATGCAATACATTTCGTTATATCATATGGAAGATTTGACAGCCGTTATGAGTCAGTCGTTATAATGTGTTGGTTATTTGCATTGAAACATGTTTTTACGCTTATTTTTGGCAAAATGTTACTGATTTTTAGCTCACCTTGACATCGTCAAGCTGAGCTATTGCCATGGGTCATTGTTCGATCGTACTCCGTCCCCCCCCACCCCCGACCGCCCCCCCCCCCCCCCCTTCCGTACAACATTTGGCTGACAGGTCGCAACGATAACTCAGGAAACCTTGACGCACAATGTTTGAAATGGGTTATAGTTGTTTAACTCTATGTCCCATAGTTGAACGTCCTATGTTTGGAGCACGC